TGGAGAGGTGCTTCTCACCTGGACCCAAGCTGCTCTGGTAAAAGAGTTCTGGGATAGTCTTCTCTCTCCAGGGCAGCCTACATACTGATTTCCTTTAGCCCCAAGCTCACCCCAGACCAATGAGTTAAATGAAGCAAGCACATTTTCATTTTATTTTCCAAAAAACAAACATTAATTGAGTTAAGGACCTGAGCAATGCTGGGTAAATCTTCTAGTAAATAAAAGAGAGGAATAAGCCAGTCAAAGCCATGTATATTACAGATATCATTACGCACTCTTTTTCTAGCATTGTTGATTCTTCTTTGAGGCGTTCTCTAGTTTGTTCAAATATTTGCTTGCACTTACTTGGTGCTTTAGAGATATTGCACATCACTCCTAGAAATCTTGAGGCAGCTGGCACTCACCAACAGTTAATATACATTATACTGGAGAGGCAGAATCAGTTCATTCCAACTCTTGAAAGCTGAAGATGTCATTTCTCTACCCAAAAAAAAGCAATGTTTTAGGCCTGGAATGAGCACCTTAAACAATAATGTGGACATGTAGTATCTTGGCCCAAAGATGCTTAAACTATCATTAAATTTCTGCAGTTGCTGATGTCTCGACCAATGCTGAGTTAGATCAGCACAGACAGATATACGCCACTGTGCACCCACATTGGAAATATGCCACCTCGTGCATCGCTAAGGAGACTTCTTTGTTGTCTGCTTGCAACTTTCTTTTTTGGACTCAAGTTATATCAAGATTTACAGGAACAAGGTCATACACGTAAGAAGCTGTTCTGCTATATCAGAGGATTGGTATCTTTAGGGTGCTGCTGATGGGTCAGTAGGAGTGTATAATGGAGCATGTGTATGCACAAAGTATTTGAGCATGTATTTCTGATTTTTTTCCCAACCTCAAATGACTTTTTTGTTAAAATGGGTATTTCTTTAGTAAATATTGAAAACTGATCACTCTGGGGGCACAGTACTGCAGTAATCAGCTGAAATCTTTGCAGTTTTTTATTAACCGTCCCCCAGAAATGCTAAGAAACTTTACCTTGTTCTTTTCCTTTTTGTAAAGGGCAAAAGGAAGGAAAACTATTGTTTGATCAGTAATCTTTTGTCTTTGACAAATATTTTTGTTTCAACAGAAAAAATAAATTAAACTAATTTAATAAAGACCACTGATATCAAAAGGGATGTTCATGTAAAGCAGAATTTGGGTTGGTGTTTTGTTGGGTATCACTGTTAACTATACAAATTGACATGCACCTATAAAATAAATCATGTTACCTTCAGAAATATAGGAAAGCATCAAGCTATAATCATTCTTGTCATTTTCTCCCCATTTCCCTCCAATGGTTGGACTTGTTTGCTGGGCCTGATCCAGTGCCTGGAAGTGAATTCTATGGCTTCGGGGAGCACTGGACCAATCTCAGCATGAACATATATATACATAAAATCAGCTGGTTGCAGCCAGACCTACAAAGGAGAGAGAAATCCGCTCTCCCCAAAGACAGTCATTTTGTATATAATCTATGCTGTTTTTTTCTCCAGCATAAGTACAGCACCTAAATCCAATATTTACACAGGGTGAATGTCTTCAACATGCTGTCTGTGGCCACAGTCATTTCTTTCTTAGGCGCCATGTTAGCATCTGAAATAGTGTTTATAGCAAGAAAGAGAAATTGCTTGTGTACTCTTCTAGTACAGAGAAAACACACAACAGGAAGAATGACATTGATTAGTACATGACTGGTGCTTTGGAATTGAAACAGTGTTTTGAGTGGTGTGAACATGGCAAATTTGACTTTATTAAAGTAGTAAATATTATGGAACAACTTCATGATGAAACATGATGCTGCCCTTAAACAGCTGTGTTTTGGAGCTAATAGATCAGCTTCAAAGGAGCAATATTTCTCTTAGGCCAGGTCTACACTGGACCAGGAAGATCAATTTAAGGTTCGCAACTCTAGCTGTAGAATACATAGCTGGAGTTGGTTTACCATAATCTGAGCGTGGCAGTGTCCACACAGCAGGAGGCTGACAGGAGCAAACACTCGCATCGGCTTCCCTTACTCCTCCGGTCTGTGAGGAGTACAGGCAGCAGCTGGAGCTTCCTTCAGCCTTTGTTTTATGGATCTAAATTGAACCCACTAAGTCTAACACCAGAATGTTGATCTCCGGTGCGATGAGTATAGATGTGCCCGTGCTGTAAATGAGAGGTTGTATTGAGTCAGATAACCTTACCTCTGTTCTAATTTTCTGATCTGTTTTTTCAGGAATCTTTAATTTAACTTTCTCTTTCTCTTTTCATTTCCTCTCTTTATTATCCCAATCCCACCATCTTGATCATGACATACTTACATCAGCTAAACTCAGTGGCATTATACAGGAAAGTTTAATACTGAGCAGAATTCAGCCTGCACAAAGATTGAAGGATGCTGATCAGTCCTGTGGATAATAAGACAATGCTACAGACTAAGCATCTAAAAGGCCCCCCAAAGAAAAACTGCAGCTATTTTAAAATATCCACTAGACAAATGTATGCAGTGGAGCTCAGGTGTGTGTGTGTTAGTGGTTTTTCTGAATCACTCTGATTCTTCTGGAAGCTTTTGTCAGCTTTACTTCACTGACAGTGAAGTAGCAGTGAGGTCAGCTTCTACAAGGGAATGAAGCCTCTGATATTCTTTTTTCTCTTTGAATTTGAGTTAAATATACTTAGGTGGCTTAGCTTTATTCTCCAACTGGTGACCTGAAACACAAGAATGATGTCTTTTATTCTGTTCTTTTAAATCTTTACAGTCCTGTTCAGATCAGATTTCTCTTAAGGCATCTTATCAATAATCTCTGTACAAACAAGTTTTGCAAGGAGCCTTCTTGGGTTTTTTCCATACAGGAGGTTCTTTACCATCTCCACCACTTTACAACTGCAGAAATCATTTCCATATTGAAATGTGCTAGAGAACATTCACAGATTGCGGAGGGAAGGGTGGGTCTTTTCATATAGCAAGGAGATGCAAAAGCTATTTATACAAAGTATGAGAGAAAAGGTGTGAAAAACAAATGGAAACTGAAGAACAATAGAACCATAAGATTGTTCCACACAAGATCCTTGCATGTCTTTTATTTTCCTTAGGATTCTATGGTAATCACAGCTAGGAAGGTGGCATGCTGCAGGCACTGTCAACTATGCAAAACAAGCTTCCATTATTGTTATTCTCTTCCTCCACTCTCCAATCCCATTTCTCTGTTTTGTTCCAAGTCCAAATTTTGAACTGTCTAATGCAGGGACCACTTTCTTATTACCTGTTTGTACAATGCCCAATGCTGTGGGAAAGGGATTCTTGACTGGGGCCCTTGAGATCTACACTACAAATAATGTTGAATGTAGAAGCCCCATGCTAAAGCCTTCAAATCCAGTGAAACACTGTAGTTAAGGATGTGGGGCTGTATTCTTCTGGCATGGGAAACCATTTTCAAACTGGCATCAATTTCCTTTGGAACAAGACTAGGCCTATAGGATAAACAAGTTTGTCAGTGCACTTTGCCTTATCTCCCCAGCTAATCAAGGAGTCCTTAGTTATGCCTTATGCATATGTGGTTAATCTGGTCTTCAGAAACCTATCAGTGGCCTCTGCAAAGACGAAGGTTTGATACACACCTTTAAACTTTTTTTCATTTAGAAGTCCAGTGTGACTTTAGTCATCTGTAAATAAGGAGACACCAGAAGGCTGATCTCCCCCTACTGCTTCTCCCTTTCATTTTTAAATGACCAATTCCATCAGGCATACATACAATGCAAATTTGGTGAGTATATTAGAAAGGCAAGCCCAAATGTTTTGCCTTCTGTTAGTTAATAACAGCAGTAATGACCTCAGCAGCATAGGGCACCTTCTGCAAAATTAATAACCACATAAGGGTTAGTGGCCCAAAGCGACAAACTCTCCCAGACAATCATTAATCTGCCTTGATTATTATTACTGCACTACTGAACACACAAACCTCCTTGCTGTAGAAATAAAAACCTTCCTTCTTTCAACTCCTCCTCCCCCCCCCCCCCCAGCAGTAATGACCTCAGCAGCATAGGGCACCTTCTGCAAAATTAATAACCACATAAGGGTTAGTGGCCCAAAGCGACAAACTCTCCCAGACAATCATTAATCTGCCTTGATTATTATTACTGCACTACTGAACACACAAACCTCCTTGCTGTAGAAATAAAAACCTTCCTTCTTTCAACTCCTCCTCCCCCCCCCCCCCCTCTACTCCTCGTTGGGTAAAAAAAAAATGGGAGTAGAACTCTGAAATAAAGACTAAGGTAACTGTTGTGCAGACTCTCACTTAAGTGTATGATAGGAAGCCTCTTGCCTACAAATGAGAGCCTGTTTCCCACTTAAGGAATTTTAAGCCATTTCTAATCTTTTGTAAATAGTCATTTTCGAGGGGAGTCATACTATGACTTGTGAGGCAAGGCCTTTCTGAGATGGTTCTGAATGAATTTTTTCAGTTAGTTTGCTTGCAACATCTCTCTACCAGCAAGTACGTATACCATGTTCTTTAATGTAGAGTTGAAATCTTATATTCAGATTGGAAGTGGGAGTTTAATCTACTGCTTTTAGCTGCAAACATTTCATCCTCGTCAGTGTATCTGGGTCTGTTTTTAGGTACATAACTTAGCATGAAATACTGAAGATGGTACACCCATGACAAAATATTGCATTAATACCAAACTGGCCACGAACAGAAGTCTTTGAGGTAATGTAGACTTTAGTCACATAAGGTTGCCAACTCTCCTGGACCAGATACCCAGATACCATTGCAGCAAATGATGTCCAGTTCATCCGGTTGGGAGAGTTGGCAATCTTACCATCACAAAATATGGCCTCTCTTCGAGAAATGGTAACTGGTCTAGAATGATAGAAATCTGAAAGTGCATCTATTTTCTGGCTGTGGTATATAGAAACTTCTCTGATGCTCACATGTCTCCTTTTTTGTTGTTTCTTTCCATGACAGTTGTGCACATTAACCTTCAGATCTCATTTCCCTCCATTTCCGCATCTTTGCTACCAGGATTAATTTTAGTTGGACAATGATTAACATACCATGATGAACACTGCAGAAACAGCTCAAATTTGGGTAGGTAATTAGAACCTCTCAATCTTAGCACCTAGTTACCAGCTTGAACTTCTAAACAGCTGCAGTTAATTTGTATTTCCTGGCAGCACAGACCTTGTTGCCAAATGGATAAACCTCTCATATTTTTCTGAAGAGACTGTGCCTTTGTGGAATAGAAAATATCACCTGCTGACATGTCTGTTCTCGTTTGTTTGTTTGTGTTCCCTTTGAGAAATATGTGATGCCTGGCTAAGCTTTATTGATTTAAAAAGGCATGTAATTAGCAACCATTATGAGAGAAGGTGTTTCCTTACAGATCTCCATCTTTTGGAAAATTTCACAGGAGAAGCTTTAACTTACATACCAGGGGAGGTTAACAAAAGATATTTCAGGAAATATCACAGTCCCTCAGGCAGTTGAAAGGTGGGTATGAGTGTGTATGGATGGAAAGAACCTGAAACTGTAAAAAAAAAAAAAAAAACCACAACCTTTATTCCCCAATGTATCTTTTCACTGCTTAATATGTGAACTGAAAGGAAAAGAAACCTACTCAAAAAGCTACATCCACACAATCTCCCTTGTGCAAGCTAAAAAATGAGTTTCCACTAAAAATCAGCAATAGCAATAACAATTTCATAAGAGATCTCATTCTGCCAGTTACTTTGGTAGGGGTAAATCCTGTGGCTCTCACGCTTGGGGTAGTTTGACATAATCATGAACTTCCATTGGTGCAATTTCCTTTTCCTCGTGATCATAAAGAAATCACCTAGTTGGTGATCAATAGTGAACTTGCATGCCTGAGGAGAGAAAAGACTGGGGCAAAGAGACAGACTCTCTCCTGAATGGTCCACTAGGTGTATAGTGATTATGAAATCTCATTTCATTACACTACTAATTTCCAAGGGATGAAATTATCAACAAGGTGATTACTGGATGTAATTTATGGCCCATGTAATTATACAGCTGTCAAAGCAATGACTGCAGCAGAATTGGCTTTTGCTTTTTCTCAACTTTTTTTTTTTTAAACAGACGAGGCTTGCACTTTTGTCCTGGTCTACTAAGTTTGTTAATTGTCCATAGCTGAAAAAAAATATTTTTTTGTATTGCAAGATCAGCAATCTATAGTTTGAGAATATAGTTGTAGCCAGTTATAATTACCTGCAGAACTGATTGGAAATTTTGCCTGATGGGCTTGAAATGCTTTCAGGTGATGAAAGATTACTTCTCTCTCTAGCTTGCTGGTCGATAAAGAAGAGAACTTCAATTCTCTGAAAATGCTGTCATGCTACAGCAGTAAATAATAAAAATAGTTGTTAGAACTGTTTTTTTTATTTAAAAAAAAAAGCTTTTGTCTACAGTTGGTAAGAATTAAGGTTATCCAGAATGCATGAAATCAGTACCCCAAAGTCTCTTTTGTTAGTCTTCTTTCAGAATGAAGATGCTGAACACTTGCTTTTGCTAGGATTATCAACAGTCTGTAAATAACTTTATGATTAAACAATGAATTTCAGAGACCTGCATTCAATTATTTTTCAACAAAATTCAACAGATGCAGATAAGTAACACTATGGGATCGGTGCTGTTTGGAAAGCTCTCAGCATATTGCGGGGAGATATTGCAAATAAATTAACTGATAAAACTTACTGATAAAGAATGGCAGAGCAGTAGTACAAAATCAGCCGTTTAATAACAACACATATATTAAATTTTAAGGGGCACTATCAGTAGCTAAAACCTATATTTAGGCTTTTGTAAATATAGGAGGGTTTTACACAATCTGATATCTGGCTAGCTTCACAAATCCATCCTCTCTGCACAGTGGTGGCATATGGGAATATTCAGGCTGCAGGAGCCAGCTGACAATTTATTTGGCAGTGAGGATAGTTCTGATGAGAGAAGGGCAGAGACTTCATTCAAGAGGCAATGGGCGTACATTACAGCAAGGGAGGTTTGGGTTGAATATTAGGAAAAACTTCCTGTCAGGGTGGTTAAGCCAATGGAATAAATTGTCTAGGGAGGTTGTGGAATCTCCACCATTGGAGATTTTTAAGAGGGGGTTAGAAAAACACCTGTCAGGGATTATCTAGATGGTGCTTGGTCCTGCCTTGAGTGCACAGGACTGGACTTGACCTTTTACGGTCCCTTTTAGTACTAGTATTATAACACTCTATGTTCAGCTGCTGTATGGAACATAACAGCTTCTCAAATTGAACGGTCTCCTGGAATGCTGTAACTCATATTGGGACTGGTGCAGATTACTTCAGAAAATGGGTCAGCCATACCTGATTTCTGGATGACCCTTTTCCACACACGCAGAAGAAAATATAGCCAACTATCAGGTGAGGCCTGTCATTGACCAGGCAAAGTCATTTTACATAGATTACACTTAGAGGAAATTTCAAGAAATTAAATATATGTAATAGAATTTGTTATTAATGTGCTTGCAAAAGGGAAGTAAAAGAACAGTTTTAAATTCGTAGGATTTCAACTTCAAACATTATTCACTTTATTGAATGATTATTACAAATAGTAAATTTGAATCAGAAACTTGTAAAGCTCTCATTTCTCTTTCTGTAACTAATTTGAATGTTGTGATTTGTAACAATAAACATTTTCTTTCCATTAAAGTGACAGTTGAATAGGCAATCGAATTTTTATTTTGTTAGCAGATTTTTTTATGAACTCCAATCCTAATAGTTAGGACTCTTTTTCTGATAAAAAACAAAAATAATTATTTAAACCAGTGTTTCTCCAAGTGGTCTGCAGTTTGTTTACTTACTGGGCTGCGATCACCATTTGAGAAACACAGATTTTAAACCTTTCACCCAGCATATTCTTGAGTAAAAAATAGTGCATTCCGCTAATTTAAGTGGCAGAATTTGTTATGCAAAATTTGGTATCTGTAGGTAATCGCAAAGTATGACACTATTTTGCACAAACAAATCCACAAACAAACTCTTCACAACATGTCATAGATAGACTAGCAATTTTTTTACACGGTGACTGGATAACTTTAATATTCTTCTGCAGTACTGACAACACAAACATTGTGTGAGAACTGAAAAAAGACCCTGTTTCATAGATACAAAAGAAGACATTCCCACGGGTGTAAAGACCACTCCAAGGCACAGCTTCAGGTAAAGAGATGGATCATGTAGTGGATATTTTCATTGGTAAGTGCATTTCACCCCAAGGCTGTGTCTAGACTGGCCAGTTTTCCCGGAAAATCAGCCGCTTTTCCGGAAAAACTTGCCAGCTGTCTACACTGGCCGCTTGAATTTCCGCAAAAGCACTGACTTCCTACTGTAAGAAATTAGTGCTTTTTGCAGAAATACTATGCTGCTCCCATTCGGGCAAAAGTTCCTTTTGCGCAAAAGGACCAGTGTAGACAGCAGAGATTTGTTTTCCGCAAAAAAGCCCCAATCGCGAAAATGGCGATCGGGGCTTTTTTATGCAAAAGCGCGTTTAGATTGGCCATGGACGCTTTTCCGCCAAAAGTGCTTTTGCGGAAAAGCGTCCTGCCAATCTAGACGCTCTTTTCTGAAAATGCTTTTAACGGAAAACTTTTCCGTTAAAAGCATTTCTGGAAAATCATGCCAGTCTAGACGTAGCCCAAGTGTTTAAGGCTACAGGCTGAGCCTACTTCACTGAAAATAATAAAAATCATAATAAATTATGCAGTGGGGGTTCTTCCAAAGCTGTGGTATTTGGCAAAAGGCAATATATACTTACTAGCAGATTTACCAGGCCTTGAAATGAGGGAGAAGGTACAGGAGACTGGAGGGGAAGCCAAGAGTGAGGAGGGGCTCAGTGCGGGGGAGTCCTGCTGCCTGCCAGGAGTGCATTCTTTCCCCCAGACACTCCTGCCCACCCCTCCCCCCGATCTCCTGCCTGTCGGAGATGTGTAATCTACCCCCAGAGACCTTTCTGCCTGCCAGGAGCCTGATCTCTCCATCCTGCAGGTCTTCCTGCCCACCAGGGGTCTGCTATCTTCCCCTCTACACCATCCGCCCCACACCAGGGGCCTGTTTTCTCTCCCTCCAGGTCCCCCAGCCTGCCAGGAGCCTATTCTTTCCTTGGCAGGTCCCCCCCAGCCCACCAGGGCCCTTTTATCTCCCTCCCCCTCAGGTTTGGGATGGAGGGGAGGGAAAGGCTACTTACTTGTTCTGCTGACAGGTGAGATGGTAGAGCCCCAGCCCTGCTGGCCACTCCCTTGCTCATACAGATGCTCCCAGTGGGCACTATGCAGGATAGCTCTCCCCTGCAGGCTTGCTTCCTCTAGTGGCCACTCACATATCACGTGCCTCTGAACAGCAGTCCCTCCCTTTGCATATTATAGAAAACAGCTCCTTTCTCGGGGCTTCTAGTTCTCCTGGTACAACCAAACCCTGACTTTGCTTTAAGTTAGGAAAAGAGGAAGCTGCCTACCAAGTTTGGAGCCCCTACAGTTTAGAAGGAGTTCTTGAACAAACAGACTTGACACACAGACACACTAAAATAGATATGGATATAAAATCAAGAGAGAGAAATGTTTGGTTTTCAAACTGATAAAGTCATGTCCCTTCAGTTATGCCAAGGAACTTTTAATTGTAGTTACTTTAGGTGGGGTGGAGGGAATTTGACATTATTAATATCAGCTGAGTCCATACTTCTCTATTAGAGTTTCTTGTGCTTAGAAATTTTAATATAGACAAGTAACTGGACTATACAGGTTTCAAAGAAGTTGCCATGTTAGTTTTTTTTCAGCAAAACAACAAAGGGTCTGGTAGAACCTTACAGACTAACAAATTCATTAGGGCATAATAACATCCAATCCCTACATTAACAGGAGTGTTGCAAGCAAGACACGAGAAGTAATTCTTCCACTTTACTCTGTGTTAATTAGGCTTCAATTGGAGTATTGTGTCCAGTTCTGGGCACCACACTTCAAGAAAGATGGAGAAATTGAAGAAGGTCCAGAGAAGAGCAACAAAAATGATTCAAGTTTTAGAAAACATGACCTATGTGGGGAGAGTGAAAAAATTGGGCTTGTTTAGTTTAGGAAAGAGAAGACTGAGAGGGGACATGATAAATGTTTCCAAGTATCTAAAATGGTGTTACAAGGAGGAGGGAGAAAAATGTTCTCCTCGGCAAGATAGGATACTATCTTGGATGATAGTACAAGAAGCAATGGGCTTAAATTGAAGCAAGGGAGGTTTAGGTTGGACATTAGGAAAAACTTCCTAACTGTCAGAGTGGTTAAATATTGGAATAAATTGTCTAGGGAGGCTTGTTCATATGCACATCTGTTAATGTGATATATATATGCCATAATGAGCCAGCAATGCCCCATTGCCATGTGAATTAGACATATTGGACTGTCTCTACAAATAAAAATAAAAGGACACAAATCAGACATCAAGAACAGTAACATACAAAAAACGGAAGAAGCACTTTAACCTCTCTGGACACACAGTTACTAACTTTCAAGTTGCCATTTTTAGGCACCAATCCTTCAAGAACTGACTGGAATTCGAAACTGCTGAGCTGAAATTCATATAGAAATTTGACACCATTAGAAGAGGTCTAAATAGACACATGGAATGACTCTCATTACAAGAAGTCCCTTACAGGTACTCTTACCTCATCACTGCTGGAGGTGAGTCACGTCCACTCACCAATATACTACACCCATCTCTGTATCCCTTCCTTTCTTTCTCTTCAAGCATCTGAAGAAAAAGGTTGGATCACACAAAAACTTATGACCTAATAAATGTGTTAGCCTTTAAGGTGTCACCGGACTCAGTGTTGTTTTAGTCCTCTACAGTGAAGTTTATTAAATGTCCCTAGTACCTTCGCTGTGTCCCTCTACTGCTGAGAAAAATCAAATAATAATAATGTGCCTTTCTTTAATGTAGTTTGCACATTTGCCTTACATTTGCCTTCCTCCCACAAGAAAAGAGTTCCCATTTGTGCTCAGTATGAGCTATGATGTCAATACTAAAGTCAATGAAATTTTAGCAGCTCCAGTCTGTTATAAAACTGTACATTTCTCTGCAGCTCAGTGAAGTTTTAATGTTTTCAAGAAACTGGATTTTCATAACAATCCTATTGGATATATTCACCTACAGTCAGCAGCCCAGGCAAACACTTGCTTTGTAGCACTCCAATCAGCATCACAGCCCTCAATTTTTCTTTTGACTATGTCAATACAACAAGTCTCCTGTAACTTCAGGCTAATCATCGGTGCTTGTACCATATGTCAGATGTCGTGTGAAGAAATAAGAACATTTGTTACCAATTCAAAGGAGCCTTGTGGCAGTGCCTCATACCTTTACATGTTCACCTGGTGCTTAACTCATTAACACAATGTTGAATCAACTCCATCTGCCAAGTCTGACAAAGTGGCAACTTCTTGAAAATCAAGAGTGACTGAAATTATTGATGAGCCTCCAAAAATGATTTGCTTTTCAGCCCTGAACTTCCTAAAAATGAAATTCCAGAAACTCACATTTGCAGAACAAATGGTGTCTTTGTGGGTTGCCATCCTCGTGAGCCATGCTTCCAAGGTATGATCATCTATTTCTTCTTGCTGACTGGTGTCTGAAATATTTACATTGGAATATTTAGAAAATGTTGGTTGAGCTTGACCCTTTATCATTATTTTTCAGCTTGTTCTTTAGCTACCTTACATGAAGGTTTCTTTTGTCCTCCTAGAGTTAAAGTCACTGTTGTGCAGAGTACCAGCACAAGTACTAAGGGTAAGTCCCACTTAAACCCTCAGAATTATAGACTCACAGATGTGCAGGGCTGGAAGGCACCTCAGAAGGTCATCTAGTCTTGGCCCATATGCTGATATAGGCTGACCATTCCTGACAGGTGTTTGGAAAATCTGCTCATAAATCTCCAAATGATAGTTTAATGGGGCTAGGCCCTAAGGCAAGGGTGGGGAATCTAAGGCCTGGGGGCTAGATGTGGTCCCTGGCTTGCCTGGATCTGGCCCCCTGGGGCTCAGGCCTCCTTTCCCCTGGCAATGAGGAGCCTATTCTGGTACTCCAGTCCCTACTGCCCCCCCCCACCTGACTGATTTTTCTGTGGGGAAGCAGCCCCCAACCTAAAAAAGGTTCCTCATCCCTGCCCTAAGGCCAGAGAAAGGCTCTGGCAAGAACTTGAGGGGATGAAATGGTTATGGGATCTAAAAGAAAGGAAGAGAAGAGCCTAAAGAAACAGCAACAAGACCAGAGCTTAAGCCAACCAGATCATGGTTGCTAGTTACAGTGTCTGTGAGAGGGAACCTAATGATGTAGGTGGGCCTGGGCTCCCCTACCAGCCACTGGGAAAGTGCTACTTGGGTGGAAGACTGCTTGACATACTATATGGACAGTGCTAGGTGTCCAGTTTTCAACTAAAAACCAATTTGAAAAGGGATCCTCCCCAGCCCAGTGGAAATGAGCGAGCGACTGTAGGTGGAGAGGAGTGAGCAATAGATGGAGTGAGCAGAACGGCGCCTTAGTGAAGGGGTGGGGTAAAGGTGTTTGGTTTTGTTCTGTCAGAAAATTGGCAACCCTACATCTCTCTTCCCCTTTTTTAAGATAGATGCTATGTTTGCCCTTCTCCAATTCAACAACTTCTCTTTACCATGTTCTTTAATGTAGAGTTGAAGTCTTATATTCAGATTGGAAGTGGGAGTTTAATCTACTGCTTTTAGCTGCAAACATTTCATCCTCGTCAGTGTATCTGGGTCTGTTTTTAGGTACATAACTTAGCATGAAATACTGAAGATGGTACACCCATGACAAAATATTGCATTAATACCAAACTGGCCACGAACAGAAGTCTTTGAGGTAATGTAGACTTTAGTCACATAAGGTTGCCAACTCTCCTGGACCAGATACCCAGATACCATTGCAGCAAATGATGTCCAGTTCATCCGGTTGGGAGAGTTGGCAATCTTACCATCACAAAATATGGCCTCTCTTCGAGAAATGGTAACTGGTCTAGAATGATAGAAATCTGAAAGTGCATCTATTTTCTGGCTGTGGTATATAGAAACTTCTCTGATGCTCACATGTCTCCTTTTTTGTTGTTTCTTTCCATGACAGTTGTGCACATTAACCTTCAGATCTCATTTCCCTCCATTTCCGCATCTTTGCTACCAGGATTAATTTTAGTTGGACAATGATTAACATACCATGATGAACACTGCAGAAACAGCTCAAATTTGGGTAGGTAATTAGAACCTCTCAATCTTAGCACCTAGTTACCAGCTTCCTAGGCCTTCCCAGAAGAAAACTTGCTGTTTTCACCTGTTTTTAGATTTCTTGATAATTTTAGCTGATTGGAGAAAAAGCAGTTCCATAAATGATGACACACCTACTTGCCATTCTTATAGTCACCCAGTTAATAAAAGTTACTTAGCTATCCAAAACAGGGTTTCTACATACCAGGGCCTCTATTGGGATGTGTCTAGACTACAGTTTTTTTTTTTTTTTAAAGTGGCCTTTTTTCAAAAAAACTTCCCCTGCATCTAGACTGCTGCCATGTTCTTTCAAAAGTAAATCAAACAAACGTGGCAGTTTTTTCAATTGTGGAAAACCCTGCTTTACGAGGAAGAACACCTTTTTTTGAAAGTGCTCTTTTGAAAAAAGGTGCTATGTAGTGCAAACTGTGCTTTTTCGAAAGAGAGCATCCAGACTGCCTGGGTGTTCTCTTTTGAAAAAGCCAGGGTTTTGGAGTGGAGCCCGGGTTTTCCAAGAGCTGCAGGTTTTTTCCCCAGAGCTGGAGCGGAGCCGGAGCACAGAAAATCTTGACTGCTCCACTGCTCCAGGTTTTTTTCATTTTCAATCCAAAATGAATGATATTTTAGCAAGAAAGTCCTAATGGTGCCAAAAAGTTTCAGATTGTATAACAATTGATTTTTACATCTACTTTACCACTTTACATAATATATCAGTTATTCTCACTTCGGCCAAAATCAAGATTTAATGTACAGATACAAAATTACGAAGTTTTTTGGAGATATGTTTTATTAAAGAATCAGATAATTATCAGACATCCAGCAACACTGCAGACTGCTCCCACCGTTGTGCCAAGGTTAGGTGAGTACGTACTCGCATAGATTAGTTAGATTAGTATGTGTTTATTTTCAAACTTGTAACGTGTAGCCTTGTTACTTCCCAACAATGAATTCTGTAGAACAGCGATAGCACATACTAACGCTACAGCAAATACCAAATTTAATTGATATATCTATATTAAAGCGTTTGAGATATTAATTAAAAACTTGGAAAATATTTTCAATATTTTAATGCAAAATTTCATAAGAAAAACTAATTTGCAATTTGTAACTAAAAATGTATATTAATTATGTATATTAAAAATACTTCTTACTTCGTTAAAACAGCAAGAAACATGTTAAAATATTAAAATATACTTTAATAATAATTTTGTGTAAAAAGAAAATGTGATCATTTTTGTCTAGAAAATCCAAAATAAATTCGAAGTATCTTAAGTGGTTAAGATATTACAAGCAGGTACATTATAAAAAAATGTAATGCTTTTGTTCATTGCTTTTTGAAGATCATAACAAGAAACATTTGGATGCGGTAGCAGCACAAGAAGATTTGGCCATGGGTTCAACAAAAAAAAAATCAAATCTGCCCCCCATGATCGATAGCCGATTTACAGAAAAGGATTTCAACGACATCTATACTTTTGAATTTGAAAAGCCCAAATTTGGGCTTTTGGGAAAAGCAAAGAAGAAATCAGCAACGTGCAAGGTGGAAAAAGAAGTGAATGGCGAGCTCAAACCATGTAGTTTCAAGACAAGTGAAGCAAGTGCCGTGAAAAGTTTCAACCTTTGGCGGCATGTAAAATGTAACCATCCTGAAAACTATGCGGCTCTGGTTACAAAAAAGGACCAGGAAGATGAGGCAAAACAGAAAGCTGACGTGGCTAAACAACGTTTATCTGGCTCTTTGAAAATTCCTGGAGAAAAGATTTTTTGTGGAGCTTCATCTGAAAAGAAACCCAAATTGAGCAAACAAAACTTGACTCATATTTGAAGTCCTCAAAGGTTACAGTCACCATGGATGCCAATACTTTCCATGAAGGGCTGATGGAAATGGTTTGCTTGAGTTTGACACTGCTCACTACCTTCAGGCAAAAGAACAAAGGATTCCAAAAAATTGCAGGAGAAATGGGTTGTTAGCTTAGCATTTCGATGGGGCACAATGCGACTCGTCATTTAGTTGTCAGCACAGCTGAGTCTGGTTGTGAAGAGCTCAGGAAAGCTTTGGAGCAAAAATTGTGCTACCTGAAAATGGATGTGGCAACCTGTGGAAACAGAAATTTCCTTGAAATCAATGCTCAGTACTACGAAGAAGGAAAAGATAAAGCTGTGGTAAAAACCTTGGACATAATCGACACTGAAGGGTATCACAATTCTTCCTATGTTAAAAGTCAAGTAAAAGCTATTTTAGAAAAATTTGGGATCAGTGAAATGCACGTGCTGAGCATCTGCGTTGACAATGCAACAAACATGACATGTGCTGTCAAAAATGTCAGCAAGGACAACTAAACTATTTCTACCTCTGAGAACAGGGATGTGGACAGAACTGAAGCTATTTTTCCTGATGAATAAACTAAAGGAATGGATGAAATCAAACTCAACATGGATGCTGCTGCACAATGGGTTAATGACCCTAGCCTCATACTTCCAACATGGCTTCGTGAGGACAACTCAAAAGTCCAACTGATGAGGTGTATTCACACTCTTCAGTTGGCAATCTGGGATGGACTGAACAAAGAACATGAAAGATGCCGGCGAGTTTCTGCAATTCATAATTGTAATGAAGCATTATTCGAGAGAAACTTTTGGGAAGATTGTGAAGCGATAGAGTCTATTGGTAGGCTAAAAGTTAAGTCTGTTTTTGAGGCCATTCACGGCTACCCACGCCGCATTCAGGCTGCCTGTAGAATTGCTTCGAGCATGCCAACAACTCAAGCTAGTGTGGAGCGACTGTTTTCGGCTTTAAAGTTAATTTTAAATGATCTGCAGCAGGCTATGAAAGACAACTTGATTGCTGCAATAATATTTTACAGATTGAATTATGAATGATTCTAGTTTGTATCACTGTTGATGACATTTAAATTGTTTTAAAACTGAATAAAAATAATGTATTTTCAAAATTATTGTATGCACTTTTTTATTTTGTTAAAAATTAATTTGAGTCGGAGCGCGGAGTGGAGTCGGAGCAGAGCTAGAGCAGTCACTATTGGTGCTGGAGCGGTGCGGGAGCGGAGCAGTTCAAAAATTTGATAGTTCCAAATCCCAAAAAGCAGCTTGCTTTTTCAAAAAATACTGGTTGTAGCCTATGCACTCTTTTTCGAAAGAGGCTTTTTCGAAAGTATCCTTCAAAAAAGCTCCTTTTGAAAGAGGCTTGCAGTCTAGACGTAGCCTAGCAGTATATAGAGTCCAGTTTCAAAGGAATGACATCTGCGACTTTGACTTAAGTCAGTGAAAATCAAGTATACCCAGGTACTCTCAGAATGGTGCCCTTTCCGAGGATGGGAGATGATCTTTTCTGTGTCTGCATAAACCAAAAAGAATCAGACTAGTGTCTGTGACATTAGTATTCTTAATACTGCTGCTTTCACTTCTGCATTTCATCTGCCTAGACACTTCCCAACAGCTTACTTCATTTTCATGCCTGTAAACATCTTCAATGTTTAATATGTCTTTTCATGGCACTGCCCCAGTGCAATAGATTAGTCTCTCAGCATTGAAATGTTGCCCTCATAGACCATCAGCCAGAAGCACATATGAAACAACATGGGATGGGTGGAATCTGTGAAGGCTCCTACACCTTGTTAGTTCCATAAGTACTTCCACAGAACACTCACCTTATGCTGTATCTAATAGCCTACGTTTTTTCCTCTAGGCATATGCACTGCTGCCTCATTGTATGGTGGATTCTGGATGCTACTTTTAGCCCAGAATTTGGCACACTCACCTTCACTGGGAGAGGGGGAGAGGAGGGTCCCTGTTCAAATCTTACCCCTCGGGAGAGTGTTTCAACACCTGCACTATAGACTATTGAGACTGGTAAGGTCTGATCTAGAGTACTGCATCCAATTCTGGTTCCCCCATTACAGAAGGGATGTGGATGCACTTGAGAAAGTCCAGTGGAGGGCAAGAAAAATGAGTAAGTGGCTGGAGCACATGAATTATGAGGAGAGGCTGAGGGATTTAGTCTACAGAAGAGAAGAGTGAGGGGGGATTTGATAGCAGCCTTCAGCTACCAGAGAGGATAGAAAGAGACTGTTCTTGTCATGACAGAAGACAGAACGAGGAGCAATGGTCTCAAGTTACAGTGGGGGAGGTCCAAGTGGGATATTAGGAAAATCTATTTCACTAGGAGGGTGGTGAAGCTCTGGAATGACTTACCTAGGGAGATGGTGGAATCTGCATCCTTAGAGGTTTTTAAGTCCTGGCTTGACAAAGCCCTGGCTGGGATGAATTAGTTGGGATTGTTCCTGATTTTATCAGAGGTTGGACTCAGTGACTCCTGAGGTATCTTCCAACCCTGTGAGTCTATTCTGAAGTCCCTCGCGATCTCCCCTTGAAGCTATTCCACAGAGGATAAATGAGAGAATGAATCAGGAGGACGTTACACACCAACACCTGCCCTGAAGTGTTTAGAGGAGGGATATGAACAGGGATCTCCTTTCTCCCCCTCTGCCAACGACATGAACTTGGGTCTTCCGCATCTCAGGTGTGTGAGGGGCTATGAGTTAAAAGGCAGGCAATAGCATCGCAATCATGCATGTAATGAGGCAGGCATCTAACTCATCCTTGTATGAAAAGGTGGCTAAGCCATGAGATGCGTTCCCATGGGTTGATTAGTAGTGAAGCCAGTCACCTCCCTATAGCCTGGATTTAGGTGCCTATCTCTGATAAAGAGGTTGGGCTTAAAACATTGGCAACTCCCATTGGCTAGCTTAAACAGGAAGACATCTGGCACACTGGCTTTCATGGACTGCATTTTAAGGTTTCTTCCCTTTCATTGTGTAAGTAATAATTTTTAATGGTGGGGGGGCACTCCAAGATTTTTGGTAAGTGATCAAGGGCTGCACTTCTGCGGAGATGGCGCAGGATCTGGGGCAGCAGATGGGATGTAGCAGAGAGCTTGGGATAGAGGACTGGGGTGCAGGAGGGAATGTAGGGTCTGAGGGAGTTTGAATGAAGGAGGGGCTTACAATCTGGGGCAGGAGCTTGGGGTGCAGGGTCCAGGAGGGGTTATGGGTGCAGGAGAGGATTCTTGCCTGGAAGAAGGGTGTCTGGGGGGGTGGTGCAGGGTCTGCGAGGGAGTTTTGATCTGGAGGAGTTAGGGACAGAATACAGAGGGTTTAGGTGGTGGCCTGGGGCAGGTAGTTAGGGAGAGAGAAGGGGTAGGGTGCCAAAGGCCGGCTCTGGCTGAAAGGTGCTTACTTAGGTGTTTCCAAGTCAGCAGCT